TATATATATATATATATATATGATGAGTTTATTGTGAAGAAGGTTATTTTGCTCTATCGTGAATTGATTTAGAATAAGAGCAGTTTTGTGTGGCACATTATAAATTTTAAATACATATATGTAAAGATATGACCGTTAAAAAACTATTTTAAAAATTGAAAACAATATTTTTTTTGTCATAATTTTAAAGATTATTATCACAAGTGTTCCTGAACTTTGGGTTCATTCTCAGTTTGCCCCTCATCCTTCCACCTCTCCCTCCAGCTTTAAAAACTCTTTGTTGTTTAAATATTAAATTCTTCTTACTTAATTCTTTCTGTTAAAAAATATTTTTTTTAAAAAAGAGAATAATGTTGTCACGTGATCTTTTTGTTTGAGTATATATTAAAAATAAATAGATAAAAACCGCATGATCACACTTAAATTTTTTTTTTAATCTGATTTTAACATAAATTCTTATAAAAGATCTTAAACAAGACTAATCCTAAACTTTAGAGAATAAATTGAGGTGATGCATTGTGTTGGAACGTTAGTTGTTACTTAGCGGGTTAAATTGGTAGTTTGTGGCATTGATTGATGAATTGGTACTAAGACATTAATTATAAAGTGGACCAAAAACAAATATTGAAAGAGGCATTTAAAGGGGAAATTCGAAGACCGAAGAGTTTTGGTTGGGTCCGGTAACTCCACCCTCAGATCAAAAGCAACTGATGGCAATTGGCAAGCAAGTTTCTCATACTATTTGATTACTTTATATCTTTATTATTTTTGTTGGTGCTAGAAATCACTACTGTTCGCTTCGCGGATTTAAGTTTTCAATTTGAATTAAGATGTGATATTTTTTTAGAACTTTTAATTATAGCAGAAAAAGTTGGACCTAATATTTTTTGAGAACTTTTAACTATAAGAACTTAAAATTAAAAATTCAAATCGATAAAATGAACAATGTCTAAAATTAGACCGGTGAAAGCAACTCATGAATGTGGCAGGAGTAACCCATGAGAAAAGGACAAGTGTCTGTGTGCAATTCTATCTTAATCCTGATTCCAGAGTTAAGAGGATGAGAGGCAAAATTATCCTGGTGAGCAGGTAACGAATAGGATCGGATTCCGTAGATTTTTATACAACACTAGTTTTATGGTGCACGTCCAAGGCACGTGCTTTCTGTATTATATATAATCAAATACTTTCTTCAAAAATTTATAAATTTAAATAATATTAGTATTTAGTTTAGTTATCGATAATATTTTTAAAAATAAAATTTTTTATCTTTTAAAATTTATGAATAATGGGAAGCTTTATTGCAATAATATAAATAAGAATGATGTAGCAATTTTATTCGGCTCTTTTAAAATACTGGAATCGTAAGCTTATTCATTTATTAATTAAAGCAATATTTGTTTTATATAAGATAGAAAAATGTTTGTCTTTCTTTCTTAAATTTAATAAATAAGAGAGAGATTTTAGAAGACAATATCGATATCAATTTCTTTTATTATTAGTGTATATATATATATATACAGTTAAAATAATCATACTCATAAATAGCTAAACGAGTAACCATTAAAACCCTATATATATATATATATATATATATATATTGTCGATAGCAGTAGGTTCCAATATTAGAATCCACCTCTAGTGGATCGTATTGCAATATCTTGGGTTTCATATAGAGGTCCCCAAAACAAGTGCCACATAACATTAAAACAAATAGGTTAAAGCTTTAAAAGAAAAAAAATAAAAAAGGAAATAAAAAATAAGAGAGATTCTCTAATACGCTTAGCGTACAGATAAATTAAGTTTTTTTAATCATTAAATCTTCATACTTTTTGACTTTTACGTATTTTTATATATATTTAACGGAATAAAAAACCTGACCTACCGGTATATTGACGTACCGGAGAAAAAGAAGGGCAAAAAGAGGAAGTAAAAAGCAACCACGAATAGTAAAAGCACAGCACGTTAGTAATATGTAAAGATATTACACTAATATCCTTTACTAATTGAATCAGCTACCAAACTTAGTTCGGGTAATTTTCACTGACAACCCGTGAAAATATCTACTTATCTCATTTTGATCTTCTGTATTCACTTTTAGACGTTTAATTATCGTGATGTTTTTGAAATACAAACTTTTGACCTCTCTATTAATGAAATTGTTCATTTCAGACGGAATTTAACATGAGGATTTTAAGAGAGATAAAATGGTGAAGAATAAGTAGACTTGGAAAAAAAAAATTATAAAAAGAAAAAAATATCTGAAATGAAAAAAATCAAATTGTGTCGCCTAATATTGATATCCTTTTTCCTAGAATTATTTGTTTAGATCAATTTTTTTTCATTTCATTATTTTTAAAATCGTCATGTATCTTTCTCTTGCTACGGTCTGTTTGAAGTAAACGATTTATTAATGAAGGGCCAGAAGCCTCAAAACTATATATTTTAACTAGACCTCTAATAGCAAATGTTGGGAGCTGAATGAGAACTGAATATACTTGAAAGACATTAATGAAAATAACCAAATTAGCTTATAGAAAAATACAAGGTTTGTTATAGTTTTGTACACGTTTATTATTTATGTGATTTTTAATAATGGAATACTATCGTTGCTTTCTGTTTTTTCTTTATTAATTGAATGAAAATTGTTTATTTTTTAATAAAATGATATAAATAATATATATATATATTTGTTTATGATGTTGAGTGGTATTTTTTAGTTTTTCCTCATTAGCTTATTTTATGAAGATCACATTAAGATAAAAGATGCGTAACCATCTAGAAAACCCACATGCACTAAAAAGTGGTTGGAGCACCGGAGAAGTAATTTGTTGTCTTTTATTAATCAATGTTTCCCATTAAAAAAAATCATTTTGTCAATGCCTTGAAAAGCACTTCTTAACCGTAGTTAAAATGTGAATAAATTATTAGAAAACTCAAATACGTAATTTGAGTAATGTGCAAGTTTTTTCTTTAATAATAGTAATAATTGGAAGAAAAGGATGAAAAGTTTTATTTAAAAATGCATAGAACTAGGTTAGTTTCTGAACATTTAAAAAGCGAGCAATACAAACTAATAAATATTATAAATAATTAGCATTTTTAAATCTAAATGCGTTCAGAATATTTATTTTATTGTACTTTTAAAAAAATAACACAAACTTTAAGAAATTTATTAACTTAACAAACTTTAATGGTCAAATATCATAGATAAGTAGCAATTTAATGGTCATATAAACATTTTATTGGTTTTGAAAATTATTTTCTATGCAGAAATGTGTATCTAACATATCATGTATAATAAAAATTTTAATAAACCTTTAAGATACTCTATAGAATATATTAATTTATACACGAATAAATTAATCAAATTAATTTTAGAATAACTTTACCTAGCGAACGATTAGGTCGATAACTTAAATTTTTTGACCACGAACATTCCTCGCTCTAAGCTTGTTTGGAATATCCGAATCTTCCTTGTCAATTCCTCGAATCTATGAAGACGTGTGTATGGGCACACTTGAAACAAAATAGGATTAGCACTCAAAATACTCAAGTCTTCCACGAACACCAACTCATGCACGACTTGGAATTAGGAATTTGGAAAAGCTTTTCTTCTCTATTTTTCTCTCAGGTTACACGTCCACCTCAAGTAGGTTACATGCTAACTAATTGTGTGTTACACGCCTATACTAGACATGTAACATGCCACCTGTAGGGAAGAGAGTGAAAAAGTTACACGCGTGTCACTAGCATGTTACAGACTGACTAACAAAATGCTACACTTCTGTAACTAGTATGTTACACGCCTATCACATAGAGGAAGGGAGAAAAAATTGTGTTCTCTAATTTTCTGCAACCTCTTATTTATAGAGCACCTCTCAGAATCCTAGAGAAACTATATCTTATCTTAAGATAAGGTTTCAAAAAATAAGAGATAATATTTAATTTTAAATCTTATTTTAAATAAAATAAAATTCTCATTTAATTTTGAAACAATTTTCTCTCTCTTGCTGTAGATAAAATTCAGTCACCACAGGGATAAGCCCCTTGTAGTTGGCGCCTATTGTAGATAAGGAGGAGAAAAAATTTCTTCTTTATCTAGTTATCTAATTTTGACTCAAATTCAAATTAAAGTCAAAATTAAATTCAATTTGATTTCCAATTGGATAACCTATCAATTAAGTCAACCGGATAACTTAGAGAGCAAGTAACTGAATCCCAGGCGTGTGACACTTGTAATCTTCATCACATGTGTGTTTTAAAATTTAAATTAAATAATCACATTATTTAATATTTAATTGATTCTCAATTAATTATTTTTTAGTGTTTTATTTATAATTCTATAATTCTAAAAAAATCCATTTTGTCCTTAGTGTCTTGTAGATTTACAAGGACGGTGCAAGGACTCATGAGCCTATAATTTCTATCTCCAATAAAATTAATATTTAATTAAACTCTTTAATTAATTCATTCATTCTATTAATTCTAAAAGTACTCCACTATAAACTTAGAATTGCACTCTCGAAATTATATATATAATTTACTTCCAAACTTTGAAGTGTCCATTTGATATAGACATTACATATAGATCAATCATCTATAAATAATGTATAATTAGAGTCAGGTGAAATATGTTAACCTCTCTAACTACATCTTTATCCATTGGTACCATTGATTCTCTAATGAATAGTATATTCATAAAACAAATTCATGAATACGAGCTCGTTACCGATTCAAGTACTGAATCAACCTCAAGAGAATTATTTATCTACTTCTTTATTCAAGAAGAAATGGATTTCATCTCGTGTATTAATATTCTCAGATACCTACTTCATCATGTCTCCAAGATACAAGGAATAGGATTTAGAATCTTAAAATCTGTACCGAGTAAATTAAATACACAAATCTATAAATAGGAGTCTGCTAATAACTTAGGATTGAGATTGTTCTATATATGACCATCGGTAGACTCAATTTGAATTTCTATACTTAACCAAAATTATCAGAAATTCAAATTGTGTCTATGTCCCGGTTCTACATAATCACATTATGTGTAATACACTCCTTCAATATCACTCTATATTAACACCATATTAACAGTGCAGATAACATCGTTCTATTTTTAATGAGAATGACATGTATTAGTAATGTTTTAATTAAAGACTCTAAATTTTCATTTAAAGTCATTACGAACACGTTACGATTATTATCCTTAAATATTATCATCTTGTATATAACTCTTATATACAATATTTAATGTTACATAAATAAACGCATAATTTTAATAATATTCATAAAGTATTCAATAATACATACACATAAATAATGAAATTTCTTTTTTATTATATAAATAATAATATTCTTTATTACATCTCATGCTTTTAGGACATCATTCCCAACATATTTCGTTCAAAAAACTGATAGAATCAAGATGAAGAGAGAAAAATTAGAAATATATCATAATTCAAAGGTAAAACATGCACATTTTAAAATTCATGGAGCATATTGACATAAGTGACAAAATTCAAGAGTGTTTAAAAGTATTTCTGTTAAAAAACTCAACGGAGTTAACCTCAAAAAACATGTTGACACAAGTAATAAAATTCAGGAAACATAATATGCACATATGTTAAAATAAGTGACAAAAACAGTCCCAATAATTCTCGCCTTCTCTTCATCTTTTTATCTTTTCATCGCTTTACTTGTAGGGAAACATGCCCTTTTTCTTTTCCATTTCTCAAAGCCAAGAACTTATAACAGTCTCAAGATGAACTGATTTTAGGCCTCAAAGGGAGAATGGGGAGCCCAACCCTGCTTTTCCAAGTCCAATGTTCCACGAGTCCAGAAGAAATAGAATCAGCTCACTCTGCTTGTAACGGTCTCAAGATAGATACTGGTTTTTCTTTTTCCAGAGCCAAAAAAAAAAAAAAAAAAAAAAAGTTCTATCTTTTTTCTTTTCTTGGAGGAAAATCGAAATCAACAGGTAAAAAAGTGATTAAAAAAAAAGCCGTACCCATGATTTGCTTTTGAAAGGAATAAAGATATGTGATTACAAAAATCTAAATACAACAATCGGCAGCAATAAAGGTGAAATGAATTACAGCATTAAAACCGACTATTTTGCACTTTTCGCTAAAACAACCTTGCCCACATTCATATAACGCAAGACCAAAAACATTGAAGTAGAAACTGCTTTTTCGGAAGCCACATTTCACGCTATTAAAACAGTATTCTGGATAAAAATTCACCCCACAGGCAAGCATTTAGCTAAAGCAAAAATAACACCAACTGCTGATTTACGCCTGGTTGCCACCACCCCTCGATCGGCCACCCATCCGTCCTCGGCCACGCCCATATCCTCTGCCCCCTCCACCTCTGCCTCTTTCATATCCTGTTCCTGTACCTATAATTAAAAGAAAGCAATTGCTTAAGATGCCCAAGTTTCTCTTGAACAAGAACTTGAAAAATGAGTTCTTTTAAGTAAAACAGCATGTTTATGCACATGTTTATGGTTTACAAGACTTACCACGATAGCCCCAACCTCTGCCTCTTCCGCCTCTGCCCCGATTTGAATATCCACCATTATCTAGTGAAAACAAGCGCAAGTAGAAACCGGATTAAGCTTAAAGCATGAATGAACCAAGGCTTATCGAGATACATGAGATTTTATTACCTTGATAGTTCCCATAACCACCTTGATAGTTTCCATATCCTCCTTGGTAATTTCCATACCCACCCTGGTAGTTGCCATACCCACCCCTATTCCAACCCCTCCCACGGCCTCTGCCACGTCCCCGACCACGGTTATAAGAATCTAGCAATCAAAAGCAAGAAACATTAGAACTCAGAAGTCCTAATAGGAAATAGTGCTTCAGAAGCAGGTTGGAGTTAAAAACATGTTATTTGCATCACCTTCGTTTATGGCATTGTACGGAGCACGAGCTTGTTTAGGCTGTTGTATCTGCTGCTGATAGTTGGGCTGTGGTCTCGATTGGTCCATTTGATAAGGAGCTTGGTACCTACAGGAAATTTTAATTCATATTCGTGAGAAGTCAAAAGCATTGAACTTAGAAGTTCAGACACAGTGAAAGGAACACATTTTTCACTAGGCAACACACTTTGGCACATATGAGAGAACATACCCAGGAGAGGTTTTGTCAAGCTCTTTGGTTGATAGCGTAATTGAAATCATTGAGACATGGCGAGTCATCTCCACACTGTGTCAGGCATTAAAATTTAGTATATCCATGATCCATCCACAACAATCAATAAACACAAGTTACAACCGTGCGTGCCCGCCCAAACACAGGTTCTGTTGCATCTATAAACATGTATAAAATAATATCCTCAAACATGAAAATCACACAGAACTAGAAGTACTCAAAACCAGACACTCACGGAACAAGACCCTCTTCAATGGGTTCCCATACATCAGTTATGCTTACTGAGCTGATAGCAGTTTCTTGATGCAACCTAGGGATTCTCTTCTGTTTTGTCAAATTCAAATTGGGAATTAGTTCTTGATCAAATAGAGAGATGAAAACTGCAAATCCTAATTCTGCAAAATGTACTGACCTTTATAATCTCCGCAATGGCCACAGTCTTGCTGATTGCCTGTCCCATTGCTTTCAAAACGATGTCTCTTGCACGCTTTTCCTGAATATAGTACCAAACATAAATGAACTATGCAGCTCATATTTTAGGCGAAATCCGAAGCAACTGGCATACCATATCATGCTCATTCGAAAACTATTAAAACTCACTACCATGCGAAAATATACAACTAATGACACAAATCATGAAGAGATCAACCATAAATTACAAACACCCGACAATAAATGGAAAAGCTTAATAAGAGTATAATGTATATCCTTGAAATGGCAGAACCCAAACACAGCATAATAAAGAAAAACTCGGTTCAAAAGAAATAAATATAAAAAAGGACAAAATAATAGAACTATAATATATATATATATATATATATATATATATATCAAGCACTCAAGGTCCCAAATAAAGGTAATCTGGTTAGTCAAGCAGCAGAACGTTATACGGAAAAGTGAAAACCCATAAATTTACATTTAAACAGTGTAAAAAAAAAACAGAAAACAAAACTCCAAATCATAAGTTACTGTAAACTCTAAGAAAAACAAGCCCTAAATATTCAAAAAAAAAAAAACTGCATAAGCGCCCTAAAAATCAAACGGACTAAGTTTAATGCTCATCAAAAGAAAAAAAGGCACAATAGAATCTAAGAATCTATCAAAAGGAAAAATAAAAGAAAAAACGAAATACTCTAGCAAGAGACATATGTAGAGAGAGAGAGAGAGAGAGAGAGAGAGGGAGAGAGAAGGAAAACCTGGAGAAGAGTAGTGGCATAGCTGATATAGTTTCTAATAACGCCTTGAGTGGTGATTCGGATTTCGTTCTCGTTGATGGGCGATTCAGGCTTGGGCTTCTCAACCCTCTGGTATCTATCCATGGGATTTCTTCGATTTGGGAAATTATTCGCAGAGTTCAAATGCTGCTACTCTCAGAAAACCCTAAAACCCTAGCGAAAAAAAACGAGAGAGATAGATAGAGAGAGAGAGAGAGAGAGAGTGTGAGGAGAGAGAGAGTGTGTGCGTGCGGGTATTAGAAAGAAAGAGATTTTGAGAGCGCGCGTCACTGAGGAAAATGGGACAAATTGACTAAAATCTCCCTCCCTCGCCGGTCAAGTCAAGCTTCTCTTATACTCCAACCCGATTTGGTGCCGGTTTTTCTTGGCCCTACGCCCTCGCAAGAAGAGAGTGGTATCACGAACGGTGGGAATTGAGTTGCCTAATTGCACGTTTTGTTCATATATTTAAAATTATAACTTAAAATTATTTGTAATTTATATGTATTTTTTATGAAAAAAATATTATAATAATTTATGAATTATGATTCAAATTATAACATAAATTTTTATTTCAAACGCATTTTAAGTGTGAGTCAAGAATCCCCACGTTGGGGTATTTGGCTGTTGTTGGTTGCCATTCCTTATCGTGGATTTTAATAGAGTACTAGTAAGGAGAGGCACGTGCAAAATCACGTGCCTTTTGTTTTTAAATGACATAGAAGCATTTATGTTGCATTGTGTGTAATGTTTAATACTTTGATTAGTTATATAATTTTTGTTATTATTATACTTTAGTAATTTTTTAGCTAAAAAAATGATAAAGTTTTACAAAGTTTAATTTAATATTTTGTCCCTCTTACCAATGGAAGGCTAAAACTCTGCACTAAATTTATATAAATCAAAATTTTAAAACATTATTGTAAAACAATTTTTTCTATTTCTCCCCAATCCCTCCTTTTATTATCCCTTTTATTATTATGTTATGCTTTCACTGCATTAACTTCTCTTCGATCTATTTTCTTACTTTATTCCCACTCTCTTTTAATATGCTTATATATTATTTACATAAGATATTTTTAAAGTTAAGAAAAAATATTGCCCATCATATCTTTCTATATGTAAAAAAGTTGTCATCTACTAATAATATTCACGTAGAAGTGAAGAAGTACAAGTAAAAAGAAAAAAGTAAAAGTACGAAATTGAATACAAATTTGTTTTTGGTAAAAGAAAAATTCTTGTATAAATTACATAATGATAATTGAGGCTTAAAAAACCAATAGACAAAGGAACAAAAAATAAAGATAAAAACAAATTAAAGACGAGATCTAATAGAAATAACAAAAAGAGGTGAAAGAAATATAATTGTTATTTATATATTAAATAAGATAATAAGGATTAGATTAATTAAACGTGTGCCATTTAAAAACAAAAACAAAAATCAAACGTGGGAATGGGATCATGAGTAACAACTATGGAATGGCAGTTTCGTTATTTACATTAAAGATAATGAGATTTATAATTTGATTAAAGTAAAGCACTCAAACGTTGCATTCCAAGCGGCAACCATTGTCCAATTTGGCGCACGTGTCACATTGGAAGATATAGAGTGAAAGAGGGAAAAAAAGAAAGAAAATGAAAAAAAATAAACAAAAAATAAAAAACAAAAACGAAGCAGGCTGGTGGAGTAGACATGTCAATTTACATGCCTGCTTTCACACTTATTAATTTTTATGTACTTAGAGGAAGTACTTTTTGAACAAAATAATAATAATAATAATGATATTATTATTATTATTATTATTATTATTATTATTATTATTATTACCCTTTTAATTTAAATATATCTATCTAAATTTTTTTATGTTTTTTGTGAATTTTATTCTTTTTTGATTTTATATTTGTTTTGAGAATTTTATATTTTTATAATTTAATTATTTTTAAATTGAAAGGTAGAATTATTATTTCATGTTTAAAATTGGATTGAGAGCACTTAAGTGATATCATTTAAAATGCAGTGTCTCAAGACTTTTTGTTTAGTAGACTACGGCTTAATTTAGTAGTATTGTAGATTTTCAAATAATTATTTTTAACTGTGCTGAAAAAAGAAATAGTTATTATAAAAAGTAGCTAGGTATTTGATAAACTATAATTATAGTAGTTGTGTTGATTTCAAAATCAGTGTAATAACATTTGATAAATTATGAGGTTCAATTGCTGTGGATAATTAAAAATTACGACTATATTATATTATAG